TACATTAAATCAACTCAAACATACTCTCAAATCTCTTCGAAGCAAGTTGTTCAAATAAGTTCTGAAATCTCGGAGCGGCGTATAAATGTACCAATACTCTGGCCAACTCCCATAATAATCCAAAGGTTTGTTAATTTTGTAGTCCGGTATGTCAATGGGTACATATTTTGAGCTAGGCCAGCACTCGTAATCTATCACGCCATGTAGAGGCTTGTACTGTAGATCCAACATTATCTTATCACTAAAAAATGAAATTTTAAATGGAAATATAAACGAATTGTATCCCAGAATACTTACGATGGTGTCGTATGTTTTTACACAGGTTCGTTCGTGCAAAGTTCGCTGGTGTTGTGACAAATATTTGCAAAAATATGAGCCTAGCGAGAAATTTGTTGGATGTTTTCCAATACGTGCGGCATGCAAAATAGCGCTTTTTATTCATCGATTTTATAAAGGCTGAATTTAGAAATGAGAACACTAAGAAAATATGTGACTTTTACTGTTAAAATCAATCACCAAAATATAGTCCATAGATTATTATACATGTTGGAGATCCAAGTTGCATGTTAAGTGATAACGGAAATCAGTTTCGTTCATTATTCAATTCTTAAACAATTATTACGTAAAAATCAAATACACTTTATTATATTTCCCTCAAGGAAATATGACCGAAAAAGTCAATACAAAATGGTCTACTTGTTTAAAAGATAATGACTACTTTTGGAACAATATTGTGCATTCTATTACCAGATATACTTCCTTTTTTTGTCATTTTGGTCGTGCCGAGAAAAATAAAATTTGCAAAATTTTTAAATTTTCTAAATATACTAATATGGTCAAATTAGCTGTTCGACGTTAAATAATCTCTACAAATGTGAAGTGAAAATAAAATTCTGAAAGAAAACAAAGTCAGACCTCTGCTCTAAGGCCTATTTGTTAGATGAAGGTCCTTACATAGCATCCATAGAAATAAGTCGTAACTGCTATGTCATAATATTGTAAATCTGAAGCTTTTTAAGCAATTGGGTTGTAATGTGATTTATTTTATATTTATTAAAATGGTATTATTTTTTCATGTAATCTTATTACCAAAAAATAATGCGGGTAGATGTGGTATTTCAAGGATTTTGCGATCACATCGGCAACAAGGCTAGTGTCCGATGGGTGATTTAAAATAGGAGAAAGAGAGAATTGAAGAATATAGCTACGTTTTTCTGAATAACTCGATTATTTATTCCAACGATCTACGACCCTATTAATAATATCGAGTGTTTTCTCAATCAAATATTACTATATTACTATTATAAAAACCCAGTCTCTGCATATTTGGATATTTCTTAAAACAAGTGCGGGATATTGAATTAGATTATTCAAGGATTTTTTTTTATAAAATTTACAGTTTAAATTCAAGTTCAAATAATTTAGGAGAGTGTTGTATTTTGTACCAACATTTATAAATTATCTTTTGAACAATTATATTTTAAAAATAATTTATTAAAAAACAATTCTGAAACTATCATTGAATAAGTTTTTTCTTAAATTTCCTTTAATCTTTTGTCTTCGACAACGAATCGCCCCCTTAAATTTTTCGCATTTGATTTGAAACACTATGTATATAATAACAATTAATAAAATGACTAATTTTTTTACTCACGGAAATGATAATATAATATAATAATAATATATTAATGGAAGTACAAAGGCAATATTCAATGAAAAATTAACATTCACAAGTAAATGAGAGATATATCTCAACAAAAACTTTTAAAATTCAAAAAGAAAATATAATTATAATACGAAGAAAGTGAAAAAATAGAAACAAACAGTACATATGACAGAATAAAAGAAACAACTCAGCTCAGCTATACAATTATACATCTTAATCGGACAATTTTAAATTGATGTTATCAATCGAAAAATTAAATCTTTGTGGTTTACTAAGTTTCATGGATATGATCATGTATATTTCTGTCTTGGTATTATTCAATTTCACTACATGGGATTTAAATTCACACATCAATTGAAGATCACCATTATCAATAGCGAAATCAATGTCAAGCAAGGATAGATATAGTATAATTGTTGGTCATCCGCAAACTGATAGAATTACATAAGTTGAAAAAAGCTGTAAAGTTGGTTGTGTAAATCGAAAAATCTAGATAGCTCAAGATAGTACCTTAGAGAAATACCTTATGAAGATCTTAAATGGCGGAGTAGGCCATTTCTGTATAACAGCACCAAGTTCCTTAAAATTATTAGTTTTTTGTGGTTGTATTTATTTGTTTCATGGCATAGTTTTTATATGCTATTGTTTTTTCATATGTTTTCCATATAAGTGCAGCAATATACTGCAATACAGTCGGCAATACTTATTCCGATAATGTGTACTAATTCCGAAAGCGGAAACAGTTCACTCAAAAATTTTATGGCAGGTTAGAAATTTGCTTCGGATGTAATTAGTTGGCGGCCTTTCCTTAAAACAGGTCATTCGAAGTTGTCCGTCCTCTATGTATAATTGAACCAATTTGAATTTCCAACGAGATAATGATTCCATCTACTACGGGACATTTTCTTTGTCGAATTTTGTCGAATTTAATTTGAAGAACAAAGGCGATCCTAAAAACAATTTTCCGCTGTAAACTCCTTTATTCCTCGTTTCGTTTAACTATAACTTTGTTTTGTTAAATTGCCGAAACATATTTTTCCATTGGTAATAATCTATAAAAATCAATGTCGGGACACTAATAAAAGGAAACCTCTTTAAAAAAAATTGATTGCAAATAGGTAACCGTAGGTAGGAAGAAAAACTGGATCTAGTTGAATGTTAATATGTTGCTAAAAATTTTCTTCATAATTTTAATTTGCATAATTTTTTTTTGTATTTATTTTTTATTATTATTATTATTTCAAATTTTCTATTTTCCTGCGACTTCTACATTTATTTAGAGTAATTTTCTTTTTTTGTCCGCGCTTTCCCATTCCAAATTGTTATAAATATACCATGTTAATGAGGCTTTACAAAAATCTTTCGTTGGCTACCTATTACAATTAGTCCATCCTATTCCAGGGCCACTTTAATTCTTCATTTTATTAGTTTATTCATAAATCCACTAAAATGTCGATCAAATTATGAAAACCATTTATAAAAGAAATAATTAAATCAATTTCATTTTCTGTTGTACTTATGTTTATGTTTAACTTTAACGTTCTCACTAATGCCTGTGTGGTTTCTTTTTCCCGTGACGAGCGGACTAATAACACCAAGAACTTAAATAAAATATAATATTCAGAAAACAGCACATTAAAACTAATGTTTAAAATTAAAAAATATTTGTTGCTAAACAATTTCTTAATAATCTTCTCCTGCGTTCCGAAGTCTATCATCCACCAAAGGAATTTTCAAATTATCACGCGTAAGCTAAGAATTTTCTGTATATCAAAAAATCTGATCGTCAGGTCGTATAAAAATTATTTGTGGAAAAAACAGAGAATAAAAAATTAAAAAAAAAACATTGCTTTTTTAAGTTTTAAGAGACAAGAAATAATTGTTTCAGTTTTCTTTTGAACGACATGAAAAAGATATCAACATCTAAAGTACCCCTAAAGAATTGAAAACAGTTTGAATTCTAAGTACGGGAGAATTCTGGTAGCAATTTCCTTTTTTACCTGGCCTTTCCGATTCAAAATTATTATATTAAGCACATAGTAATGAGGTCTTTCAAAAGTCGTTCAATGAATATTAATATTAGTTCATCATGGCTCTCTGTTAATTTTTCCTTATTTATTGGTTTAGTCAGGAAAACTACTAAAATAACAACAAAGATATAGTCTCTATCTACTACGAAAAGAAGTTAAAAAATATTAGATAATAATAATAAAAAGCCTTTTAGACAAAAACACATTAGGTAGAATATTAATAATATTAGTTGGGGCCAACATCCAACATTGTTACTTTTAAGCAACTCCCTAAAGTAAACAACCAGTAGCAGCAACACAGAATAGTCCCAAAACTTAAAAAAAAAGTGAAAATGACCACCTGACACCAAAGTAAAATCTAGATACTCACCAAATGATTTTATAGGCAAATTCGTTTTTTTGATTTGGTAAAGCAACAGCCGAAGTTGCTAGATCAGAAATTGAATATACAGAAGTAAAGATAGAAAATCTATTCACATTTTCTGGCCACAAAATTCATCTAGAATTTTACATAAAACAATGATGGATATGGAAATTTACAATTTGTTAATGGGAAATTCTGCGTCTCAAGTGTGTGGAGCTAGTCCGAAAGATATGAAAAATTTAGAAGAGATCTTAAGATGACCGCATCAAAATAAGTCATTTCAATTAGGCCTTTCTACAATAAATGCACACACAATTTTTTGAATGCTTTCTGCATCTGTCATACAGGCAAGACGTAAAAAAATAGCAAGTTCAGGACGCAAATGAAAAAAAAAGTGCATTTGAAGAAAGAAACAAATAAATTATATCTTCTTTTAAATCAGAACTGGGTCTTTTCATTGATTCTGTAAAGGAAAGGTATGAGGATACCTCGGAAAATAATGACAGAAACTGCTGTCGCAGGTTTCTTGAGGTCTGCTCAAAAGCTAACGAAATCACTGAGGTCAATGAAACACTTATTCGTCGTTTTTCCTTTATTCTCCAAGCTTTATTTAATCTTGATTTGATCAATTTAGACCTTGGACACTGCAAAACGGTTTGTAAGACTTTATCCTTGGTTTAATATTCCTGTTTTTATACAGAAACTAGGTACTCACTGATGTCATAAAATCGTTACTTTTATATAAAGAATAGAGCCGTTGTCGAAAACACAATACCAGAAAAATATCAAGAAAAAAATGCAATGAAGATTTAATTCATATTTTTTTAGTTTCGACAGATTCATTGATTTCAAATATAAGAAAATTGCCTGTTAAAAAGGCAAGCACTTTTTCAAGTGAAGGTCGACAAGATTAAATAAATGCAATTTTGCAATTTTGTAGTTTTTCATTTAGCTATTCGTTTATTTTTGATTATTCTGTTTTTTTGTTTTTTTTTTGTTTTCATTTTTTACCATTAACACACAGATGTTAATTACAAATAACATAATTTCACTATTTACGTGACAAGTTTGATTTTAATACAGCTAATTTTGCCAAATTGACAACAGGGGCGTGCCGATTAAAAACACCCAGTAACTTAAATCAAATATAATGTTTACGAATACAATAAAATAAATGCAATGCTAATATCTAACGATGGAACGGGACAATCGCGAAGTTGCCGATTCGAGTATCAGATCACTCTTGTTGGAATAAAGCTGTTGCCTGAACTGAAAGTAAATTATATCCAGTTTTAAAACGAACGCCACTTCCGATAGATACTCACTAACGATGGAGACGTCAGCCAGCGTCTGAACGGTCTATTCCACAATCTAATCTTAAGTTTCATCGGCCAAAAATCGTAAAATTCGTACGATCTGTGAAGCCGATAATCGGGAACGTATCTGGTGTCTCCCAAGTATAACTCGCGTCCATATACGGGATTGTAACGCGCCCTCAATGACATCTCTGCAAGCGTCAATGTAACGAGTGTTTTCCGACGCCTACTCCCAAAAATACTCACTAGCCTATTTTATTAGGCACTGTTGTCGCACCACCGCACTCTACGATCGTTGTGAATAAATGTAGTCGAAATTTTTGCAAAAGTAAACGAAAAGCTTCGTTGGACAAAAGCCAGGCGAGACTATTTTCGTCAATTATAAACTCGCAGAGGACACCACCGCAAACATTTCATTTCTGATTAATTCTTCGAAATTAATCACTCGATGACACTCACATTCTCTTCGTGGTGCACTCAACACTGTTTTATAGAATAGTAGTATGGGCAGACAGTGCTGTTGCAGAAAGGACTTTTATAATGCGAAATAGAGTTACCATCATATTTATTCATTAAAAATTAAAATGTTTCTCATTTACAGTGTCTTTAATTTTAATTACTGTTATTGCAATGGTAATACGCGTGTCGCTGTGCGGGAGCACGAAGGAATATTTCCATACAGACTACCATATCGAAAAGTATTTTCTAACATATGTACTGTGTGTTCCCTTATAACCGTCATTTCCTATTAACTTTCTTATTTCAAGAGATACAAAAGTTTTCATATATAAGAGTTTTGTAGTTCTTTCTTAATTTTTTCAAATCGATAGGAACAAAAAGAAAAAAACATTAAAAAAAAATATTTCTTCATACCACAATCTATATTAATTCAGAGAAAAAATATCTTTTTTCCTGTTTTCAAAAATGTAGGGTTTATTTAACTCAATTTTTCTTAAGAGTTGAACGAATTCTGTTTTGACTTTCGAAAATATTTTCAAGGAGGTTGGTGAAGGTTCCAGGATTTTCTATAAATCCAAAACCTTAAATTTTTAAAAATAAATAAATATTGTTTATACATTCAATGAAAATCTACTGAAATTATTAGCAATTTTTTATTTAATCCTTAAATATCTTTAAATAACCTTAGAACCCCAGGACACATGGACGTGTTTATATAAATTACCAATCGAAACGAAAACGAAAAAGTTTCCACGTTATTTTCCAATTCTATGACGCAGGTAATAGTATATTATGCAACAAGTTCGGTAAATGGCATTTAAGTCATGAATTTGGCACGAGCGGAGCGCAGCGGAGCTACTGTTTAATAAACGAATTACTCAAACGTATCGCATACTATACTCTTTCTACTGCCGTTAATTTTTGGGTACATTTTTGCCAAACAACACAATATTTTCACTGACATAATCGTCAGAATTTACAAACGTCAAAATTCAAGCCGTGCGGAAAAATCTGCGAAAACATCCGATTGCTCCCAAATCCGTGCGGTAAAATCCCGGAAATGTCCGAAGGGGCTCGAATCCGTGGGACACGAAACTGACGTGGTAAAGTGACACTTTCCGGACGCTAGATCAGTGTACAAATAGGTTGTAAAATACCTATTTGTACACTAATCTAGCGTCCGGAAAGGAGTAAAAAAATGAATTTTTGGCTTGATATAATGATGAGAATGCAAGGAATACTTCATTACCATTATCCAATTTTGGACCCGAAGGCTTTCCAAATCATTTAGAAGTTCGCCAGTGGATTCTCATCCATCAAAATGTTTTTTTTAATTTTTGATAAATCGAATGGGCATATTAAACACCATATTTTTTAAATCCATTTTCCTCGAAAACGGCTCATTTTATAAGAAAAAAGTCTAACAGGTAACCCACGAAAAAGTTATTGCAGTTTTTGTTGTGTCCCTCAAAATTTAAGACCCCCATTAAAATATTTGTAATTTTAAAATCAGATTCAGCATGGCAAAGTGACTAAAACGCTACATTTTCAAAACCTTCTCTAAACCTGTTTCGGAAATATTAATAAAAAACTATTTTCGTAGAACGTAGAATATACTTTTATAGTTTGGGCCACTAATTCAGGAAAGATTTATAAATAATAAAATTGAAATATGGAATAAAATGTTAGACAGAGAATTATGGATCAAGTGCTATCTATCACCACCAAGGCCTCCACGTAGAAAATGGATAATTTTCCAATCTTCAAAACTCCAACATCTCGAGCTGAGCCTGAATTATCTTGTTTTTAAATCATAAATAAATTATGTAGTGTAAATTTGTACCGCTCAACATCAACAATGTAATTGTAAATGTGGTTCCTTGGAAAATAGTTAATAAAAATACGCAAACTAAAAAAAGAAATATATTCGCATATTTAACACCGAAATTTTGTAACTTTCCTTCCTCATCTCAAGTAAGTCAGCTCCCTAAGCTGAAAAATAATTCCGAATTATGATCCGAATAATGTATTGTATACATCAGGTTTATACTCACGCGGAGAATTTTGTACAATTGCCTTCTATACGGTTGGTTTTGAAACCAGTATCTGTATTTCCAAGGCCAATTAAAATAGAATTCGATGGGGTGTAACTTTCGATAGTCGGGGGTGTATCGATATTCGAACAGATATTCGTAATCCGCACCATGAACTGGATCGTATTTCACTTTAAGCATCCTGTCTATAAATTTATTTATGGGCATTATTGTAATTATAATAACTAATAAAAATAATAATAAATAAATAATAAACAAAAAATTTAAACTAATAAAGAAAAATTTTAAGCAGGTTCTCTTTCAATATTATGGAATATATTGATGAATTTTGTGCTGGGTTTATAAAAACTTTCTTACATGATTGACGTTTCGCAATTTTATTGCTTGGGAGTCTAAAAAAGATCACACGTATTCTGAAATTTTACTAAAAAAATTAATGTGTATAAAACAATACGGATAATTATTGCTATTTATCTCCGATCTTGAATAATGATATAAGTAAAGAGATAATAAGAAAAAACAAGCTACAAAAAATAATTACAGTTAAAAGTTGAACCCAATACAACCAAAAGTAAACGACATTCACATTGAGATTGATTTTCCGTGTTAATATACATACTGTATATTAGCATGTGAAAGTTCATGTTGTCGTTTAGAATTTTATTGCCGATCTCTATGGTATGGTTAAAAAATGGTTTACATTTGCGGATTTAATTTTTTTTTAAAGGCCTGTAAAGTTTGTGCTCGTTTTCTTAAGAATAGCATTTTCGTCACTAAAGGATACAGTTCGTTTGATTTTGTATCTTTTGTATTGTATTGTATCCTGTACAATGAAACATCTCTTTTACTGTTTACTGTTAAAAAAAGCACTAGAATTAACGTTGTCCACATAAGATATTAGTTTTTTCTAAACTAACCAAAACCCTAAGACGACGTAGCCTAATTTTTTTTTTGAAGCTTATCTTAGCAGCGAAAAAATGTAATATGTCACCTGAGCTCTTGACGTTTTTTCGTATCTTGCTTCGTTGTCGAAAAAAAATTCTTATTGCATGTTCCTAATTGGCAACAAATCTTAACCAGTTTTGTATTAATATCTTTCATAACCGGTATCCAGATTCCTTGTAATATGGTAGTTTTATATGTAGTGAAAAGAGAATAACGCATCTCTATCTAGATTAGAATATTTGGGTCAAAGGGTGTTGCAGCCAAAATTTCACGAATTTTTTCAACAAAAAATTCACACAAATGACTTATTTTCTCCTTTTTTAATTCAGGCACTAAAATTACCGTTTGGCCTGATGCTTTACATACCCGGTGTTAGGTCCGGAAGGCCTATCATCTTGTTGTCCAAAAATCTCATAATATTATAATAATAATAAGATCGGTACCGGTTGAGTAGCTACTAATTAACTAATTAATACAAATTGTACTAGGTTAAAAAAAATGTTTAAAAGTGATTTTATTTAATTGCCTGGATATTATTATTATTACGCCTACAATAACTGTTCAAAATATCTTCCAGTTATCTCAATAATCCTTTTGTCACAACAAATAAAAATACCAAATTTCAACAAATTCCAACAAGGGATATTTAATATATTTTTTAAAAGTTTGACACACACTTTAAAATTATACATTTCAGAAACCATTTTCCTCATTTTTTCATGTAGAATGCCCTTAAAATATTGGAATGTTAGTTTCGCACGCCTTGCAAATTTTAATGGAAAATTAGCTTAAAGTAGCAGCCAGTTTTTTCACCATAAAAAAAGTGGATGTTCAATGAGTAATAAGAAACTGATTCAGGAGAACAGTTAACTAAAGTTTCCTCAAAACCATACTTTATGTTCCTTGTATGATTATTAATCCTTCCAATATTTAATTAAAAGAACTATTATAGAGATCGCTTCTATAAATGTAATATAATTTTTTAAAATACATACCTGCAGGTTGCTCCTCCATCTTAAGTCAAGACTCAGTTTGTATGTAAAACCACTGTATCTAACATAAATGAAGCATTTATACAAAAAAATTCAGAATTTATTTCAGACCAGCAGTAAGTCGTATTGATTTTTTTTTTGCGATCAGTTTAATATCGTTAATACTCTAGCGTGCGTCGCGATCATTCCCGCGTTTGACATTTCTTGTTTTCGCACGAACGAAACGAACGAAACGATAACACCGCGTTCTAGATAGACGTAGACATTTATAAAATTTATAAAGAACGGATAAATGCAAAAGGTAAACTTACAGATTGATTTCTAAGACGACGTCGAAATTTTCGAGTTCACTGTTTACTCGCGAAGTGGAAACTTTCGGTTTATAAAGAGGCGAGCATGTACTTAACGCCCGAAGTAATTGGGCGTCCGCCAAAATGGCGGACTCGGTTTAGAAAATATTTTAAATTGCTTGCCTGTAATGATATGTGTGTCGCATAATTTTGTCATTAATCGGACATACTCGCTCACTTTTTATTTTTACTTTGTGTTTTGGTTAGTAAGTAATTGAAAAACCGATCTACAGAGTTCATTACAAGATGTATACAGCTTGTTCGGAAGTGCTTACCAAATAAAAAAATGTCTAATTATTAACTCTACGAAAAAAATGCCTCTTCCTAAAATGTCCTGCTTGGTGAGAAAATGAACTTGTACAAGAATCATGTATGTTGGTCATACAGAGTGGCTTCAAAAAGTAAAATTAACAAAAGACCAACAATCCTAAGGACTGTGCCATAACAAGTTATAACAATAATTCAAGAAAAATACTTCAGAAGAGAAGTATCGTGAATAATCTTAAAGAAAATTAGTAGTTTAAAATTAATTTCTTATTTAGAATTTTGTGTCCTTAATTAATTCGAATTGTGTGCCTGAACTTTGTTTGTTGGAACAACGTGGAATAGTTTACTTAAACCAGTGACAATATCAACATTATCACTATATTACATCATTACCTTACATTAAAGTTAATTCAATAAGCATCTTCTTTATCTTTCTCCTACAAAATTTGAACCAATCAGTAAAACAAGGGCCAAGATTTTGCAACCACAATATTATGTTAACTATTGATTTGGTCCGTATTTACCATTTTAGCTCATTTAATTCCATTATTGGTCCTATTTCCAGCGTTATTCATGATTCATTAAATAAGAATACGTAGTTGTCAGCGCGTAACTAAAAATAATTAAAGCGATTTGTTTATTTTATAGATAGCACTTTCAATTAAAAGGGGTTATAAAAACCGGTGCTAAATGATCCTGTTGGGTAAATTATAAACATTCTGAAAATCTCATCATTGCATGTTGAAATCAATTTATTTAGCACATTCACCATAAGTCAACAAAATTATTTTCTTCTATTTAAGAATTTTGGAACAATTCCTGATATGAGTGTAAATAAAGAAAGGTGGAACAGCAGAAAATAACTTAAATAAAAGCCGTAATAATTTCAACAGCTGGAACTAGACTGATGCCAGAGTTGTGAATAATATGTTAAGAAAATTTATAACAAAATATTCCTTAGCGGCACCAAATTGAAATTGAGACCTTTGGGGATGCATATTTGACATGCCGTTGTTGTTGTGGTGGTTGCTGCGAGCAACCATAAGTTACAAATACATTTCATTGTGGTAATGGTCATTTTTTGGGGTTTAATTTTAATGTTTTTGATAGAAAATTATACAAAATCATCAGATTCAACATACAACACGTTTATTGTGTAATATAGGCGTAATTTGTATTTTTTGGAAATTCTTTTTTATTACTGACTAACCAATATGCAATCTGTTGTTTGTGTAATCCAAACACCTTGATCTGTGATAGTAATGGTAATAGTTTAACACCAAAATCCGTAAACACAACCCTACCCACCGAGATGCGGTAGTTTTGGTGTAATTTTTTTTCCCAAGTGTTAATTCCTGTAGAGTGACTATTTAGAGCTAACACAGGCATTGAATTCTGGAAAATAATATCATCTTATCGATTCCCTATGCAGCATTCAGATGATCAACTTAAAGGATCTCGACTCCTAGACTATGTTAGTTTCACTCTAATATTAGAAAAATTATACCGAGCAACAATAGAAACTTCAATTCAGCAAATTTTAACAAACGCTTATTGATAGTTAAAAATGGCTGCTTTAGTAATAAGATGTCGTTTACCAAACACATTTTCCATGTGTCTATTATTGTGTGTTTCAGTAAAATAAGCGTTGTAACTACTATGAATTAGTATTTTTTATCTGAATCTTTTGTATTGTTTTAAATTATAAAACCGGTTGATAAAAGTATCGTTCAATCGATTTTTGCTTGAAACCGGGCACCATCAATTCTAAATTAAGCAGACCTTCGCGTTGGAACATGTTTTCTGCCTTGTTGAAGATTTTAGACTATTCTAACCTGACTTGCGGATTGTTTTATTTACTAGAAAGACGTAAAATTAATTCTATCCAAAAATACAATCAAGATCATTACTATTTAATAATGGCGATCATCCAAAGTAATGGTTACTTTGTGTAAGTACCTAGGAAAATTTTAATTCTTCTATTTTTAAAAGAATACAACTAAAAAAAATTGTCATGTTACCCACTATCTTGTTAAAGTCACCAAAAGAAATTTCAGAGATTCTATTCAACACCCAAATTTCTGATAAAAATATGGAAAATAGTCGTAAAATACTGAACCCTAACACCAAAAATTTTGTTCGAATCTGAGACAGCATATTAAGAAGTTATGGCTTTGATACGCGAAAAATAGTGAAATGGAAGTTCTACGAGAAAGAAAGAAACCTTGCGTACTTTTTAAAATTCTTAAATGGTTTATTATTAGGTTATTGAGTTAGTGAATACAAAATTAAATAAAACACGATTTCTATAGATACGTAGTCAGTTTAATTCTACACTGTAACATATTTACAACTGCATCTCTAATTCTTATTTCATCTTAGTTCCCATCCACTTACAAAAGAGCTTTCTCAGGTTCAGGTTCTATTATCGACTGATCTACTATAGCTATAGTATATAGTGCAAAAGTTGCACGCACATATTAATGTAATGTAATGTATGTATTAATGTAATATAATGTACTCCATTTTTTTAAAATTAATACACAAAAGTTGCCTAAATTTTTGTTTCAGCACCCAAAACAATGCTTAATGACACCGACTTTTTAATTCGAGATTATGCTGCACGTAAAATCGTTCCAATCTTTTGTTAAGTAATAATAATAATAATAATAATAAAGGGCCTTTATTCGGTTTCGACGGAGATATTTTACAAAAATATATAACTGTGGGGGTGGCATCCAACATAGTTGCTCTCATGCAGCCCCCTAAAACGAGTATATGACAGAATTTATAAAATAAAATATAGCATATAAATTATATATATCTAGACATTCATTCAAAATGGTAGACTCTGCTAGTGTGAATTCGAAGAAAAAAATACATATATACAATTTGATAGTTACTAGTTTTATGATCGGTCTCTATTATGATAAATGTATTGCTTAAGTTTTGGTTTGAATGAAGTTAGTGAGGTGATTGATCTCAGTTAGAGAGGGAGTTTGTTGTAAACCTTGATAGCATTGTACGTGAAACTGCGCTGAAACTGGGCTGAAGTATGTTTGGGAACAGTAAACAGCCCCCTATGGCGAGTATTAACCGAATGAATATCTGATCCACGAGTAAGTACGGTAACCAAGTTTACACAAATACTTAATGCGCATTAACTTATAATGCGATTTGCGACATTGAATTTTAAAATTTACACTGAAATATTTGTTTTCTTTGAACAGATGATTAATTGTTTTGCACCTTCATAGAGTTAAAATTTTAACAAATAATTAAAAAATCCGCTATGTTTTGGATAACAAAGTATGAACAATTATAATCTCAATGTTAGTGGTTTTATGTTAATATTATACCAACTGTTGTATGCGTTTTTGTTAGCAATTGTCTGATAGCACTGACAGATAATGCGCATTTTGTGTTTACACGAATGTTTAATCTGAATTCAAGGGAGATAATCCACATATTTAATGCATTTTAAGTTAATGCGACTTGGTATTTTTAAAACGGTTTACAATTGTATATACAGGCGTTTAATTCAAGTTCGCGTTCCTCTAATGCGCGTTAGGTGCAAACTTGATTAGCGATATTAAAAGTTTTCTTTACGTAGGCACATTAGAGAAACTGAAGTTGAACATACCTAATTTATAAGCATTAAAAGCAGTTGAAAGGACAACGTTGATTCGCGTTTTGGGAGTCGGGCCACCTAGTGACGTCACCCAAAGTACTTGCTGACACTTGTTTAAAAACTACCTTAATATTGTCAAAATTTTGAATGTTCCAAAATGACCCTAATTCAAATACAAATTTTAGATAGGTCTTAAGGTCAAAATACAATACAATTTTAAAATAAAAGCCAACAAAAACTAAAGACATCAAATACACCTCAATTAAAACACATAAGACACTAGAAGTCAGGATTCAAAATAGGTAGTAAACATATACTTAGCTCACACGTACATGTCTGTCGGAAGATCCAAAATTTCTTGAACAACATATAAAGCTACTACTAACTTTGTTTTAAGAGAGTTTATTTTTAAAAAAATGAAGCAAAGTGCGTGAACGTCCAAATCTTAAAAACTATTAATTCGTGAAAACCCTTCAGTCAGGCTCCAATGTCCTCAGTTTTAGGTAGCTGTTTTAACAAATTTATGTTCTTTGAAACTTTCGTGCAGATATAGATTGATTGAACTTTAAGGTTGGATTTTTAAAATTTTATTTTTCAAGATTATTAACCTCGTGGGATATTAAAGTTAATCTAAGAAGTTTGAAATATTTTGTTAAATTTTTTGTGTAACACTTCTGAGCATGCCAAGTTCTTATCACCTGCGAAAAGAACTATTTAATGTTGTTGTTGAGTTTTCCTAATAGGATTTCATGTGATATGCAATGAAATGCGTAGGATAGGTCACAATAAATAGAACCGGCATTGCAAATAAATTTGGTTAAACTAAACCCAATTGGCTGGCTAACTTTTATTTACATATCAACTTCATACAGTCGTATGCTTATAACAAAAAAATTATGTAAAAACAATTGTGTGTGGAATTGTCACATCCTCGATGACTCAATATTCCACCAACCGTCTCTTCGTTGCCCAATGTTTAAAGTATAACGGGTTGCTGGTCTGGAAAAAGTGGCGTTCGTCGGAATCCAGGTCAGATTAAAAAAATCGCGTTTAATGATACCGCTGTACTTTCAAAAACTCACCCTCTGAATCTCAAAGGGAAGATTGGACGGCATGTAGTCGCAGAACACCCTCAAGTTACCGTAAGGTACCCAAACCCTCGTTCGGAACGGGTAAT